GTTAACTCACATCATTGTTACGCATTTTTCTCAATGTGATGTCTTTCTTCATCCAGGCTACTGCAGCTCAATATCTCAACCTTCAAGCCTTCTTAATTCACTCAAAAAAATCATTCTATTTCATCAACCTTTCGCCTTGTGGGGAGGAAGCCAGAACAAAGTCAATTTGTTACTGGCTATGACGCTTGCCTGGGGAGTGTCATGAACCTCGGTTCATGATGTATTGTTCGCCCCGCCCACGGGAGTATAAAGGCTCAGGAGAGCTTTAGGTAGGGGAAGACTTCGCAGCTTCTAGTGCGGGACGCCGCAGTGACCGCCCTCCCTTCAGCTCGGGGATCGCCCCGCAGCCAAGACTGAGGATCCCACGTGCAATAGCCGACGAAGGATGGAGGCTGAGCCGGGGAAGGTCTGGCCGGCAGTCTCGTCTGTAGGTGGATCCACGAAGACGTAGGTTAGCGAAAGGTACGGGTACTTAAAGTCAACTCAACAATCATCAAGATTCAAGTTCAACAAGATTCAAGTAGTCGGATAGCCTTAATGATGATTTGTTGTAAAAGGATTCTAGCAATGTTGTATTTTTCACGTTCACGCAATGTAGTTTATTGTTAGACTTTATGTTAAGTTGTCAGGTAACCGAGGGAATAAAAGAGTTGCATGTCTCAAGGTGTAAAGGTGCATAGAAGAACCACCAACCCTACATTTGGGAGTGATGCCCCAAAACAGTGACTGCCCTGAGCAGTGGGCTTCAACGCATGCCTCAGTTCTCAAACTGTCGCTTCAATTGCTAAAATGGGTGTCCCTTGTGAATGGTGCGGCGTCTGCACTATCACTAGAAATCGTCCGCTGTTGGGTGTTACAGACAGCCGATACAATATTTTAGCCCTTATAACGTTCTATTTGGGACGTTTTCAGATCTGACAGCGCCACCTATGGGACACGAGTGGACCAGGCTAATTCTACGAGATATCTCAGAAACCGTTTTTATCGTGAAGTCTGCTTCCGAGGAAAGTAGAGAGGATATGTATTCTTTCTGAACGAAGAATATCCAGATTTCAATCATGTACATGCGTGTATGGAAGCAACGCTAATCAGGAGCAAACAAGTTATTATATTGTTACAACGCGTATCAACGAGTGCAAACTTGGCCGAAAGGCTCGGCTGGTTTTGTTCATTTTGTGCATCCCCTTACATCAATATGGAAAACCCAGTGAAGGTCTCTTCTGATCATTCTTTTTGCTGCTTTCGCTCATATCAGCTGTTCATACTCACTGACTTTGCAGAGTTTCTGCTATAAAACTCTATATCTACATGTTTTTCAATTACTTTTTTCATTCTTACCACTCATATCATTCTATCGTAGAAACAGAGCTCGAGAAGTTTTTTCCGGAACCATTCATTAATACGCTTGTGCCGTGACCATAGTGATCAGTTTGTGAGTTACTTCACAAAGTCATTCTGTCCCATCTTGAAGTTACTAGCCACTGGTGGGAGCAAAAGTAGGTTCAGTCTAGACGAAAGCAATAAAAGCGATGTTACTTTTGTTTGGAAACTTATGGGACTATAGTTAATGCGAAGAAATTTACGATTGGGGAAGTTTCTTTACAAAGATATCGTTGGCAGCAATCTACTATGACCGGTGCTACATTCTCACATCTGTAATAATTATTGCCATACGACAATCGTGAGCCAGCCTGACAAAGAAGCCCGGGATTCCTTGATACACTAGGCGATCCCAGCTTACATATTTAGTCATCTTTCTTTTCCAATGTTGCAAGGTATGATATGTCAAATGAAGCCTCTACAGGAAGACATATAAGTCGCTTTTTGCTGTTAGAGGTCGCATTCGTTTTTTGATCTTGCTTTGATCGAGTGATTTTAAAATGACTTTCTGGCTGCTTAACTGGCCAAAAGTACCAGGGTACTCGATGAAGATCTGTTTAATCCAAAAGCAGCAAATTCGTCGTCAGAGGAGGTGCTCACTCTGTACGCTCAGTTGAATTTGATGAATGGAGATTTGGTTCCAATGGGAAAATTTGGAGTAGCCTGAAACTAATATCTATTTTGGTACTTTTTTCACGATGACGGTGTTAGTGAGAAACGGATTGATACTTGATGCTCCTTTTACGCTAAGCGAGACGACTTTCCGTGAACGTTCTAGCTCGTGCATCTAGGTCAGGAGGCCAACATGATGAATGACCCACCTCCTGAGCAGAAGGATACGCGTCGCGCGGGGAGCATTCGAGAATATCGAGGGTCGAGGGAATAGTAAAGAAGACAAAAAACATCCGGTTTTTGACTCTGCATTTTTTGTGTCAAATTGATTAACTAATTGAGTAAGGGCTCTACTGGGGCATTATGAGCATCCAGTCAGCGTCGTCCAGCACGCTACGTGAACACGCTTCACGAAAGCTCTGATCGATAGGAATTCCGTGCCTCTTGTCCCTGGAGTGAGGACGATCCTCTTGCCCATGGAGTGAAGACGATCCACTGGACCAGTCTGCCTCGCGGCAGGGACGAGTGGGCGAATGGAAAATCTACTGGCGTCGCTCGATCAAATCGATGATCAACGGGACGACAGGTGTCGTTTCACTGATGAAACAATTCATAAGATGAAAACACTAGAACCAACCTGCCTCACATCATATTCCATGATAATCGGGCTTAACAAGGACAGTGTCGCCTCCGAAATCATTCCATAGTTACTAAGAGTATTACCTTTCTATTGTCTCTGAGCACTTTCTATCCAATTATGTATCTCCTTCTTGGCTACCTACTACTTCTTATCCAGAAGCTGTGATAGTGAATAGTTGAAAAAGAACAGCCAAGCATGCAAAAAGAAGCGAAAAGTATTGAAATGTAAAGTGAGGTTTCGATTTTCTGACATAGCATTTTCTGCCTACTGACAAAGCCAGCCTTCCTGCTCAGCTATTCCATTCGACGGTATTTCTTTCCCCAAATGCAGCTCTACTTAATGTTCATTGCTGTGCTCCTATTTCTATTGCCCAAACTACTAAATCATAACTGTGTTTGTTTGTTGTTGTCTACGATGTTTTGTCTGATGACAATACATTTTCCGTTACTCAGGGCTAGACGCCACTTGAGCCGACGAATCGTGGATCCTTCAGTATAGCTCTGCCCAAACTCCGTTGAATGGCTTTTCATGCTTATACCTTGACATCAATTCTCCACGTGTGCAGGTGAAGGACATCACATCTCTTTTCTTTGGGTGACCCGATAGTTTTCACACATCTATTGTGTTATCGGTAAAATCCGTGCAGCGAAGTGGCGATGGTCATTTGTCATGGTCAATGCAGCCGCCGTGTGGTTGCTCCTTGTTTAAGCGAAATGACACAAACACGACACATGAACGGTTTCGATGGACCACGCAGACTTAGCCACTTCTACTTTTAAGCAATGGAACTAGTGATATCACAAGAGGCAAACAAGTCTGGAGAATCTCGCCCTGAGAGATTCTCTATTGGTCCTTATCAAATCTTTTCTCAACCAACTCTGATCTCCTAACACCTTTCATCAAACCCTGAAATTGCAAAGCTTCACTGATAGTACAAAAAGGGTGCGGATTTAGTTTCTCATCCCTTTTAGCCTCCCATTTTTCGAAATCACTCATCAATTATCCGGTTGTACCCCACGTAACATAGCCTAGTGTAGAAGTCGATAATTGTTGTTTTTCCTGATGAATTAAGTTTCCTAGAGAAGTTACTGCTAGAAGGTTGGCCTCTCTAATGTGTCTATTGAAAGTTGAATACTTTTCCTTAATGAAAGAATTTTCAGAAGAAACCACATACGTCAATATTGGCTATTTTTTCTTACTTTATGTTCAGCTCCTGCCCTTATTGTATTTATGCTGAAATCGAATGATATCCTGAATAAGGTCTGGCTCGGAGATTATCAATTCATGGTGGGTCCATGAATGTCTCAAAAAATGCACGCTCTTTCTGAGCATGAATTTCCAGATAAATTGTTCGACGCTCCTAAAAACGACCAATCCACCTTTTCGAGCACTTTTAATCGACACACATATCCTGCAAAACCTCGGAGAAAATGAATGCAAGCAAGGGCAAAAAGTGCGGTTGGCAGTCAATGTGGAGCTTCTGAAATCAGTGCGTAATAAGGATTATAAGGAATACGATATTGTATACTACCAGACCTTCACCGACAAGGACTATCTCAGAGTTTACGATAACGAGCAGACAAGAATCATCCCTAGGTAGGTTATCCGGTTCCAGCACTTCCCAAAAGATTCGGAGGAAGCTGCAATTGCAATTAGTTTGAATTTCAGATTTCCTCTCTACAACACTGGGAATCTTTCCATACCTCGTAATGCGAAGATGTTCCTTGGAGCCTGGAAGAGATCGAAGTTTGTCGACTGTCTTGGTCTAAATATGAGTAGGAATGCGACTGAAAGACCATATCTGCCTGTTGAGGAAAGTGTACAAGTAATGTCGTCATTAGTGAGATATCTCACCACTTTCGACGTTTATCCGTTCCTGTGTGGCGGCACAATGCTAGGTGAGTTATTGAAAAAGACAATCACCTACCATAAACTCGTCAAAGAATGGGAACATCCTGCGATAGGAACATCCTTATCGACCGTGAGGCACTGCTCAAATCTAAGCCGACCTCTGCTCCACCGAAGTTCCCCATTCTTCTCTTTCCAGAAACCCTAATGAGGCTTCAAAGGAGTGAGAGAACTGAACAAAACGTTTATCCATTTAGTTTCAATTTGCGTAAGAACCTCCAATGATCTCCAAGATAAAAAGCGGGACGTACTCAGCCTGCATGCACCACGAAAAGCATGTAGGGAATACACTTCCAGTCTTCCCAAATCCACCATAGCGTTTTCAGAGGATGAGACATTTCTGTGCACGCTCATACAACTTGCTTAAGTCTTTCACTTTCGAATGGCCACTGACTTTTGAAGGTGCACCTTTCGTGGTCAGATCATGGTTCTGCCACGATGGATGCAGGACAACTATCAAAAAACGGATTGAATCAATAGTGAGGCAGACTAATGACCCCATATGTTTATGAAAATCACATACTAATCAGAGTTAGAAATTTACAACTTATGGTCCAGTATGTACAGTGGGGGTCATTAGCTAATTTTAGTACCGATAGATATCACACAATAGATGTCATAAACCATTTTGGGGTAATGGAAAGGGAAGTGCTGCGATGGACAGCTGGAGCCACGCGTTTAAAACGTATTCGCAACTATGCAACAAGGAAGCGTTCTGGAGTAGCCCTTATTGCTGATAAAATGTGCGGAGCTCGTCTCTACGCGAGGCAAATATCAGTGTCCGACCTCAATCTCGACTTGCCCGGGAAACGGCTTGTGTGAAACCCATAGCAACGTTTTCATGATACCTTGCATGAGGACTTGAAAGTTGTTTGTCTTCACCTCGATCAAGAGCTCAATTGGGAGAAGGGACGTCAACACATTAGGAGGTGGACCCCCCTTCAAAGAAAAAGAATAAGTGTTGATAGATATCGTAGTACAAAAGTTCTCCGCCAGCTAACAGTGTCATTCACCAATTTGTTTTACTGCAGAGCAGGATTGCTTCATAGATACATGGTCAATCATCGTACCAGTATTAAACGTCGCCAATTTTTTGAAATTGTTGGAGATATGGGCCACTGTTTTCAAAGATGCTACATGACGTCTAATATGATGTTCATACTCGCCCAAGTCACCTTCCTTTTCTAGACCTCATTCTTACTGAGCAGATTCTCCATATCACTATTTTTATTATAACCATAGCGTTTTCTCGGACTTAATTGCTAATCGACATATCGGCAAACAAATTGGCACACTATTACTGTAGTTACTGTATACTGTAAGTTAGCTCTATACAGTACTCGACGTACGAACTCAAAATTCACCCGAATAATGCGAATCTGCTTCTTCGTCGTCTTTCCTTCAGTCGGTTGAGAGTAAAGTTTTCCAGGAGCTGTTATTACCATTGATTTCAGCTCGTCAAGCTCTATAGACAGACATTGGAGTATCAAAAATGCTTCGTTTCGAATTGCGCCATGCACTTGAGTTCCATCCAAAAATTGATTGCAAGATCATGAAGAGCACGTTTTAGTGCTTGTAGGAGCTGATTGTTCTTCCTTCGGCTTCCATCTGGGTGTGTTTGGGTACACAGATAGCCGGGTAGTGTAGTGGCGGGATATTGGGGTGATTTGAATAATAATTGTTTGAATGGGGGGAAGGGGTTAGATTCACAGAGGGTACAAATTTGTTGCGGAAGAGTGTAGAGAAGCTTTGAGACAAAAGTCAAGCCAGCACATTATCAAGGAACTGGATGTTCGTCTTGCTATTTTTGCCCACCTTCCCGTCCCGCCCCGTTAACCCTTCAAGCTATTGAAACTGTCTCACTTTGCCGCCACTACAATGCTTCACCTCCTGCAGATCTTATCCCC